TTCGGTTTAGAGGAAGACCCCCGAGTTGATGAGCAGGTGATTTGGGAAGCTCAAGTTGATGGACATGTGGATCTGGAGGGGAATGTTTAGAATTGTTCTTTTTATGTTCTAGACTAAAAGATTCATTTTGAGACAATGTGAAATCTAATATTTTTGTTATTTCGCAGCAAGTTAATAGTTAATTTTTGAGAATGTAATTGCCATGGTTTGACATATTCTTTTAGATGATGTAATTATTATGCATTCTGAATGAAATCTTCTTTACTTATGAATTATATTAATTGCTCTCATAATGTGAATGATTTTAGATAATAATGTTGTCCAAGGTGGATAGTTGGGGCGTTACAAACATATTTTATTCTAATCTTTACTAATAAAATCTAGTTTAGCGAAATACACCATAGAATTGAAAATGATAGAAAGTGAATATAATAAAAATATATTAAAAGTGAAAAAAATGAAATTAAATATATTTAGTTAATATGAAAAATTTATGAGAAAGTTTAAAAAAAAATCATTTTATTGTTTAAAAGAAAGGAAAGTTACAAGAAAAATTATATAAATTACCCTTAATTATATTAAATTAGTCTATAGAAGAAAAAATATCTATTATAATTACAAGTTAAAAATAATTAAAAAAAAGTGATTCGTAACCTAATTTTGGGACAAGCACCAACACTTGATCAAATTATATGATTAACCAAATTTATATCAAAATTTTTTAAAATTAATAACCAATAAAATATTTTAAGAAAAATAAGGGTAGAATATAAAATTGGTTATAGGTCACAAAATTCGTGCATTTACTTGTGTTTTTTACAAGAAAAAAAAAAGTTGATTAGTTGTTAGAAAATCTAAGTATATAGAAGAAAATTATTTTTTTTTCATCATTTTTTATTTCATACTAACCAAACACATAAAGAATTTAATTTTTTTTCTTGTATTTTATATCATGATCCTCCTAAACAAATGAACCCTTAAAGAAAAGAGTGCATAAAATTAATTTATTGTCTTTTTTTGGGTAAGAAAACCAGTTATTACTTCTACTACTAATATAGAAAATTCAATAGCATATATGACAACGAATTTTTTTTTAAAAGGTGGGACATATAAAAATTTGGTAATTACAAATAGGTACCACAGTTTTAATTTTAATTGATAAACAAGCTAAAATTGGGAATATCTATATAATAAAATACAATAAAATTCAAATTTCAAAAGATAAATAAAATAATTTTTATTATTTGCAGTTAAGACTTTTTAAAATTTTATTTAAAGTTAATCTGACGGCTAATATTAATACTCCAAATTTAATATAGAAAATAAGATCACAAGGGTGTGTTTAGGGTGACTTTTTAAAAGTGTTTTTAATACTTATAACTTTTCATAAGTACTTAAAAAAAAAATAGTGTTTGAAAACCGTCTCACCAATACCTTTACCACCACCACAATAATCACCACTACCACCGCTGTCACTACCTTACTATACTCATTGCCCCCACTACCACCGTCATTGCCACCCCCACCATCACCTCTTTTACAATAATCACCGCCCCACCACTTCCACTATCGTCACCCCACCACCACCACCACTCCACCACTTCCACTATCATCACCCCACCACCACCACCCTATAAGTGCCCCACCACCCTCTTTGTTGTCGCCACCTTACAACCATCGTCACTATTCCACCATCACCCCTACCACATCACCCCCACTGTCCCCCAACCGCCATCACCATTGTCACCTATAGCTACCACAATTACAATTGATTGTCATCATCCATCACAACTATCATTGTCTCCTACCACCACCACTATTGCCCACCATCACTACCACCGCTCGCCCCTTTCCACCACCACCACTGCTGCCCATCATCACTATCACCATTCGCTCCCACTATAACCAGTGCTTAAATTCATTTATTTTTTATATATTTTTGTAATTTAATTTTAGATGTGAATACAAATATATTTATTATTGATCATNTACTACCACCGCTCGCCCCTTTCCACCACCACCACTATCACCATTCACTCCCACTATAACCAGTGCTTAAATTCATTTATTTTTCATATATTTTTGTAATTTAATTTTAGATGTGAATACAAATATATTTATTATTGATCATTTTTTTAATTATTTCGTGCTTTCAAGTACGGAAAATAACTAGTTCATATAATAAAGTACAATACAATTCAAATCTTAAAAAATAAACAAAATGACTTTTTCTTTTCACGGTTAAGATTTTTTTTAAATTTTATTTTAAAATTAATCCGGTGGCTAATATTAACTCTTTAAATTTAATAGGGAAAACAGGCTCTAAGGGTGTATTTAAGATGATTTTTTAAAAATGCTTTTAAAATTTATAACTTTTTATAAGTATTTAAAAAAATATTTGGAATCGCCTCACCATAACCACCCCCACCGTCCCACCACCATCAACACTACCTCCTCACCCCCACTACCCCATCCCACCCCCCACCACCATCACCACTGCCACCACCACCTCTGCCACAACCATCAACACCACCGCCACACCACCATCACCACCACCACCATCATCGTTGTCACTACCACTATTGTCATTTCACCACCACTGTCACTGCCACTACCACTTTCGTCATTCCACCACCACTGTCGTTGTCACCACTCTACCACAATATCTACTGTTCAACGATTACCCCTACAACCACCACCACCCCCCCACGACCATCACCATTACCACCCCCACAACCATTGTTGTCACCCCATCACCGCCGCCACCCTTACTGTCACCACCGCATTGCCCCACCGTCACCACTATCATTATTCACCATCGATTGCTACCTCTGTCGTCCACCGCTACCACCCATCACCATCGTCATTTCATTTTTATATTTATTACCACTAAAACCATCATCCCACTGCCACTGTCGCCCGCCACCACCATTGTTACCCACCACTTCGCACTACCATAAACCCATCACTATCCGTTGTCGCCCATCATTGTCGTCAGCCACTAACACCCACCCCACCACCACCACCACCACCGTCGTCATTCACCACCACCCATCACACTATCGTCTATAAAGCATCTATCGTCGCCCGTCACCACCACCATCATTGTCGCCCCATCACCACCACTCGCAACCACCACCATCATAACCACTACCATTATTACGATTGTTACTATTACCATCATCACCCAAACCCATTGCCACCGTCATCGTTGCCACACACAACTGCCACCAACAACACTTCCACCCACTCTTACTATCACTGCTCACTCTCCATTACAAATCGGTGTTTAAATTCTTTTTTCTCTCCTCTATATTTGTGATTTGATTTTAGGTGTGAATACAAATATATTTATCGTTGATCATATTTTTTATTACTCCGTGCCTTCCGATATGGGCAATAACTAATAAAATATATGGTATTAATGTTGACCCTGTCTGATGCATGGTCAAGTATAAAGTTGAAATGTATCTATCTATTCTTAGAATTAAAGTAAAATCAAGTGAAAGGTTATTATCAAAATTTTCTTTATAAATTATGGGTTAAAAAAAAACTTGGCACATACAAATCAAGACCAAAATTAGAGATAAATGGAACCCATACCTTTTGTTTGTCGAATGAAGTTTGCATGAGAGCACCAATCATTGTAGAAAAAAGGGAAAAAAAAGGAAGTCATAGTAGAAAATAAACATAACAAAATAAGAATTTTGAAAGAAAATAAAATAGAGTTATGAGTATCAATAGTTGAAGTACAGAAAAATCATAGAGATTGAGAGCTATATAGAGAAGAGGGTCGTTGGGTTTGCATGATTCATGAATCTACCATATCACAGATGGAGTCTAATAAAGGCTCAGACACAATTCCAATTGGGTCAAACCCACCTTTATGAGAAATTCAACCTATCATCACCACATGTGAGAATCTCCATCCGAGGAGAGAGAATCTGTGGAGATGCAATCACCAAGGGCATTTTGCCAATCTCGCGAAATCACTTCACACATTACGAGATAAGTCAAGTTTCATAGAATCATTTACAAGGATGATGCTTTAATCNTAGTCATCAAGGGCATTTTGCCAATCTCGCGAGATCACTTCACACATTACGAGATAAGTCGAGTTTCATAGAATCATTTACAAGGATGATGCTTTAATCAAAGTCTCTCGGACCCAACTTCATTTNCAATCACCAAGGGCATTTTGCCAATCTCGCGAAATCACTTCACACATTACGAGATAAGTCAAGTTTCATAGAATCATTTACAAGGATGATGCTTTAATCAAAGTCTCTCGGACCCAACTTCATTTGCCTATAAATTGTAAGCTCCACCTACATATGGGGGGCATCACACATATCTCAGAACACTATACCTCTTGAATAATAATATTCTCCGGCTACTATCATCATTTCTGAGTAGGTCACGTAGACCAAACCATATAATTTTTAAGTTTATTTATGCGGAGTCTTATTTACTTCATCCTTAATTGATTTTATATAAACATTTTTTTTACATCAAGGTTGAAATAGAAAAAAAAAGTTATGAGATAAGAAGGTGGATGTGATAACGGTTAGATAATGTGATAGTGGATAATTGCATTTTCAAGGAAGAAGGAAGCCACCAAATTAATTCAGAGGGGAAAATTGTTTGTTTTAGTAAAGATGCGCCCTTTGTGAAGATCATTTGTTAACGGCATGAGAAACAGTTAGAAACCTCCGTTAATTTACTTCACTCTAAACCATAGTCCAACTGAATTTCCCACCAAAAAGTAACTGTCCTCCTCTCTACTCTGCACTCCTCTCTGCAAACCCAATTCACATTCCCACCGCCTCTCTATCTCTCTCTCTCTCAGACACACACTCACACGCACCTCATCGGAAACCCAATGTGTACGATGTCATTGTAAATCTCAAGACTCAAATTGCCTCTTCCTTTCTCTCTGTTGAATCTTTCTTCCAAGAACACCCAAAGAAACCCTAGCTTTCTTGATCACATCACAAACGATGGCAAAACCCACTAACCTTTCCTCTCCATATCTCGTGTTCTTTATGATCTTCACTGTTATTTCTTTCGCCAGAGCAGAGCTACAACAAAGTAATTATGCAATTGAATTCAAGACCCCCAATTTTCTTGATGAAACCTTCTTACTGATTTTAAAGAACTTTTTTGTTTTTCTTTTCTTCTTTCTTATTTATCGAGTTCTTAGTGATCCCATTGACTTATTCAATCAATCTTTCTTGGTGTTTACAGGTCCTGCGTATCTGGGTTTTGTATTCAACGCTACAGAACTCCCATCGGAGGACTACTACGACTACATCATCATCGGAGGCGGCACTGCCGGATGTCCACTGGCGGCAACTTTATCTCAGAATTATCGGGTATTGTTGCTTGAAAGAGGCGGTGTTCCTAATGGAAAGCCTAATCTGATGACCCAAGAAGGCTTTCTTAACAGTCTCACCGACGTCGACTCATTTGACTCCCCTGCTCAAGCCTTCACTTCCGAAGATGGCGTCCCCAACGCCCGAGGCCGGATTCTTGGTGGTAGCAGTGCCATTAATGCCGGGTTCTACAGCCGAGCCGATCAAGAATTCTATGGAAGATCAGGTTTGAATTTGGACCCCCGAGTGGTGAACCAGTCCTATGAGTGGGTTGAGAGGGCTATTGTGTTTAGACCAGAGCTCAAGAATTGGCAATCGGCAGTGAGAGATGGGCTTTTGGAGGCCGGAGTCGATCCCTATAATGGGTTTAGTTTGGATCATGTAGTGGGTACCAAGATTGGTGGTTCTACATTTGATAGCTCTGGTCGTAGACACAGTGCCGCTGATCTTCTCAGCTACGCGAAACCTTCCAATATTCGAGTGGCTGTGTATGCAAGTGTTGAAAGGATCCTGATAGCCTCTTCTTCCACTTATTCTGTGTCGAAGCAATCCGCAATTGGGGTTGTTTTTCGAGACCAGATAGGAAACTACCACCACGCAATGGTACGTGAAAAGGGTGAAGTATTTCTCTCTGCAGGGACTCTTGGTAGCCCTCAGCTTCTGCTTTTGAGTGGCATTGGGCCAAGGCCTTACCTCTCTTCGTGGGGAATTCCAGTGGCGCATCACTCGCCTTATGTTGGACAGTATCTGTATGATAACCCCAGAAATGGCATCTCAATTGTGCCACCGATGCCACTGGAGCACTCTCTCATACAAGTTGTGGGTATCACCAATTCAGGGACTTACCTTGAAGCAGCCTCCAATGTCATTCCTTTTGCTTCCCCTGCTCGCTCTGTTTTTATCAGGTATCCAACTTCACCACTGTTTCTCACTGTAGCCACCCTTATGGAGAAGATTAGTGGGCCACTCTCCACGGGCTCGCTCAGGTTGGCATCCACAGATGTGAGGGTTAATCCAATTGTCCGTTTCAATTACTTCAGTAATCCGGTTGATTTGGAGAAGTGTGTTAATGGGACTCGTAGGATTGGTGATGTACTGAGGAGCCGTTCCATGGAGGATTTCAGGTTCAGGGGATGGTTTGGGAGTGATTTCAGATATGTTGGGCCTGAATTGCCTGTTGATCAATCAAATGATCTGGTGATGGGGGATTTTTGCCGCCGCACAGTGAGTACAATTTGGCACTACCATGGTGGCTGCCTTGTGGGGAAGGTGGTAGATCGCAATTTCCGAGTTATTGGGATTGATGCTCTTCGAATTGTTGATGGTTCCATATTAACTGTATCGCCAGGGACCAATCCTCAGGCTACTCTTCTGATGCTAGGACGGTAAGAGTTTGTTTGCGTTGAATTCAAAGTTCTTGTTGGATGTGTGTTCTTGACTACTGTGATGGCTTGGTAATTTGTTGGTTTGTTTTGGCAGGTATGTTGGTATGAAGATACTCAGAGAGAGAACGAGATAAGAGTTGATTTCTAACCCTGTTGTGCCAAAGAGAACTATGGCTGCTAATCTGTTAGCCTGCTACTAGTTCATTCTGCTCTGATTTTGTTTTGGCCTCTTCTGTGGTATGTACTTCTGTCTCAAAGAGAGAATGAAATAGAGAACTTAGGCTGCTAATCTGCTAGCCTGCTACTTGTACATTCTGTTCTGATTTTGTGATATGTACTCATATGTTTAGGGAGGTACAAGGAAGACTCACTCGAGAATGTAATTTTGCTGATTCATTCATTCAAACCAAATAATGCATAATAAGAACGTGTTTGTCCTTGTTCCAAACCTTAAACTACTAGCATATTGCAACAACATTAACTTGTTAAGAATCGTAAGATTACCAACATCACACAGGCTGTTTATCTAATTTATATTGTTAGTAGTTTGTTAGGTTGTACTGGACTTCCATGTGCATGGCTTTGTGTGTTATGGTGCTAGAAAGAACAGAGAGTCTTTGTTCAGCTTATGAACTATCAAAGCCAGGGCTAGTTAACTGTTAATTACAATAACAAAGTAAAATCATGAGGGCAGTATGAATAACCTTAATTGTTCGCGAATTTCGAATGCCAAACATGAAGTTCAATTGCCCTTGGAATCTTACTACTCCATAGANCAACAAAGTAAAATCATGAGGGCAGTATGAATAACCTTAATTGTTCGCAAATTTCGAATGCCAAACATGAAGTTCAATTGCCCTTGGAATCTTACTACTCCATAGACTGACATAGCAGCAAATTCTGACATAAATTTCTTCCTTTGGGTCTTTTGTGTTCTTCCTCCTCAACTACTTGCTGCAAGAATGCTTGATGTTATGTAGGCATTTGCAAAACTGACTGCTAGTCTAATTCCTGATGAGAAGATTTTCAGCAACCGTGACTTCCAAAGGACCAAAAGTAATGTCGCTTGATGCAGAAAAAGTGATGCTTGTTGATGTTTATGTACATTTTGTTTTCATTCACAGGGTTTTGCAGATTATGATGTTAATGATATGGAAACAATCTAAACTGCAAATATGGTTGATTCCAAAACTAGTGCAGATTATGATGTTGAAGTGGTCCTTCTTCAGTCATAAATGGTCGTCAGCTAAGTCATTCAAATGATAAATTGGGTTCGCTAACTTTGAAAGTGCCCTGCACCGTATTATATAGCAGATTAACATCTTTTTTTATGTTAGTGTAAGTACTACTTCTTGTTCTTTTTTTTTACTCTTTGTGCTAGTTCATCTATTCTTGTGCAGCTGTTTTTACTTTGCTTGACTAATGAAAGGGATGTTGGTATTAGAATTGTTAGAGCTATCAATACATACATGATAATTTCAATGCAGTTCTGCCAGAATTTGACAAAAAATGTCAATTTGTTGAAGTATGCAAACATCACTAGGGGGAATGTATATCATGTTTAGTTGTCAACATCTGAACATAATTTCTTTCACATGTTAAATCCATCTGCATATCAGTAAATGTTCTTGTATATTCATTGTGGAATTTCAAATTACATTAACAATCCACAGGTTTGTGGAGACGTTGTAAATCAGGCAAGTTAGATGAACAACTGCCTACTCCAGGTAAAAAAAGGCATACCGAGTGCACGAGACTTTTACTATTGCAGGGTCTAAAGAGAGTTAAATGTACACAAGAGTTTGTTTTTGAGACTTGAACCCATGACTTTATAGAATAACCTTATCATTGCGCCCCTATCCCAAATGTATAACATATTAGATTAGACAACAAGTGCACTGTGATGTGAAAAGACACCTGAATTGTATCTGNACAGGGTCTAAGGAGAGTTAAATGTACGCAAGAGTTTGTTTTTGAGACTTGAACCCATGACTTTATAGAATAACCTTATCATTGCGCCCCTATCCCAAATGTATAACATATTAGATTAGACAACAAGTGCACTGTGATGTGAAAAGACACCTGAATTGTATCTGGTGAATAAAATTTTCTTCCTTTTCTTGTTTTTTTGATTTTTGTTTACTTGATTCATCATTGTAAATGGTTTTTTTTTTTTTTTGGGCGAAAGAAAATGGTTGAAGCANTGGTGAATAAAATTTTCTTCCTTTTCTTGTTTTTTTGATTTTTGTTTACTTGATTCATCATTGTAAATGGTTTTTTTTTGGGTGAAAGAAAATGGTTGAAGCATAGAACTATTCTTGGATTCTACCTACAGTTTTGGACTGTAACAAGATTTGAGAGTGATTAATGGTAGTCACTTTTAATGGCCAAGGAGCTGAGTCATGACATGAGAGGGCAACAACTGATATCATGAAAAAGTGTGGTTCCAACAAAAAAGAAACAATCAATTCTATACACACACACACACACAAATTATCTGAGTAGGTGGCTCTGTCGGTATCTCACCTATAATTAGGTCCAGGTTCACTTATTTTTTTAATTNCACAAATTATCTGAGTAGGTGGCTCTGTCGGTATCTCACCTATAATTAGGTCCAGGTTCACTTATTTTTTTAATTTTAATTCTATCACATGAATACTAGATTGTCTCAGACAAAATCATTTCATTCATCACTTTAAACCCAAAACAAAAAAACGTTATAAAGGTCTGACAACTTTATACTTTATTTATAAATTTAGTGCGTTTCAATTTAGGATTAATATCATTTTTAATCTTTAAATATATTCATTTTATTAATTTTGTTTTTAATATATTAATTTTATTAGTTTGATTATTAAAATATTTAATTTATATTTAAATAATCTTTACATATACAAACCAGGGGTACCATTGACTTGCATTTAATAGAAATTAAATCTATGAAATCGTCAATTAAAAACTCTTAAATTTTATGAATTTGACTAACATTAAAATATTTTCTCTCTCGTATCTATCTATATCCACATATAAATTAAAATTTTGACTAACATTAAAATTTTTTCTCTCTTATCTATATATATATATAGTAACATTAAAAATAAAAAATAGTAACATTCAAATATAAAAAAAAAAGTTATCAATTGGACACAAAAAATAATACATTTAAATACAAAATAATAGTAACATATAAACATACAAAAATTTAGACATTCAATATTAATATTTAAAAAAAATAACAACAGTAACATGTTTAACAAAAATATTAACATGTTCAACAAAAATAGTAATATGCTTAACAAAAACTGTAACATATTTAATAATAATTATTTCTCTCAAATTCAAATGCAAAAAATAGTACCATTCAAATATAAAAAATAGTAATATTAAAAAAAAAATAGTAACATTGACTATTAATAAATAAAAAAATAATAGTAGTAACATGGTCAATAAAAACAGTAACATGCTCAAAAATAATAGTACATGAACAGTAACATACTCAACAAAAACAATAATATGAACAGTAACATAATAAAAAAAAAAATAACATGAATTTGAATTTTACGATTCAAATTCATAGTAACTCTTTTTTAATATTTGAATGTTACTATTTTTTTTTAATGTCACCTAACCTATATATGGATATAAATGTCACCTAACACTTCCAATTTTCACAAAAAAAATTGAGGCCCACAAAAAATGGACCCTAGCCAATGACTCTCAATTGCCTAACCTAAGGGTCTGTCCCAGATAGATCATTAAATTTTTTATGAAAATGATCACGTGATGTTGTCTAAAATAATGATACGTGGTTATTTTTATCATAAAATAAACGACCCATCTATGTAGAGATTATTTAAAAATGAATTAAAAATTTGATAGACCAAATTAATATATTGATGATTAAATTGATAAAATAAATATATTTTAATGATAAAAAAATTATTAATCCTTAAATTTAATTTTAATAAATTCAAGTGATAAACAAATTCATTAAAAATATTGATAAACGAATCAATTCAACAATTCTTTTTAAGTAAAGCAATCATGATACGAATCTGACTATGTAATATAATAATTTAGTTCATTAAAAATACAATACGACATGACTCACCCAACACAACAACATCATGATCACTGCAGGCCGTTGATTCCTCCTCATCTTGGAAGATATGGAGGGTGGTGATCATGATTGATAGATATTCTCTGATCTTTTTCACATTTATAGTGTGTTTTGTATGGCGGAAAAACGTGTGGAAGGAAATAAATAGTCAGTTTGGTAGGCAAGATGAAAAAGAAAAAGAAAAGAAAAATGAAAAGAATAAAGTTTTCATCATTAAAAGAAAAAAATTATTTTTTTTTATTTTTGTTTGGTAAGAGAAATAAAAAATAAGAGAAATATATTTTCTATGGTTTGGTACCAAAGGAAAGTATGAGGGAGTGGAAAGTGGAATAAAATTTTTATCCTTCCAGCCCATCAAATATTTTCAGTTCAAATTTAGGCAGAAAGTAGAGAAAAAAAGTGAATTCAAGACAATAAATTTTTAAATTGACTTTTTTACCCTTTATTTATTAGAGTGAAAAAACATATTTTAGGGTAAAATTATAAATTGGGCATATATGTGTTTTATTTCCTTTCATTTTTCATCAAATATCAAATAATAAAAAATATATCTCTTTTATTTTTCATTCTTTCTACCAAAAAAATAATTAATAAATAACTTTCTTTTATAAAAACCTTATTTTTTTTACTTTTATTCCATCTTTCGTACCAAACCAACCATTAGATCAAAAGTTCCGCTTGTCCTTTTAAACACGACTTGACCAATCATCGATGAGGTGGACCATCCAATAAGAAGACATGGTTGCAGGTGGCGGGGTCATTGGTAGGCCCATGCTATTTGGTTTCTGACACCAACGACTTGCAAAGTCACACAACATTAAATTAAATTATAAAAAAAATATTATTAAGACTTAAAAATTTAACATAATTTATTGATATAATGACGTGATTTTATTGAAATCATTAGATTAATACCAAATTTTAATGTTTGATGGAGCCCATAATCAATTCAAAGGACATAGTGAATTAGGTCAGCAAATTAAATCAATAAATTATATTAATAGCATTACTCAA